AAAATGTACAGAACGCGAAATAGGTTTTTAAAAATAACTATCAAATGAAGATAAGTTTAATAAAAAACATTTATCATATCATCACATCGTAAAATTTTCTCACATCAGAACAATCACTTGAAATTATATAAATTCATTAAAATAAGCAATAATTTGTCCTTCGGATTACAACATTAACCTTAAACTCATAAATAACAATTAACGTTAAACTGGTACACAATTAAAAACATTTTATTTAGGCCTATCTATGGCCTTCAAAAAGTTTATGACTACATGTTGACGTTACAACGTCATCCTCAGGAGTTGTATCCTGAGGATAACATTGTAACGTCGAAACATGTAGAGTCGTCTACTTTTGGAATGCCATAGATAGGCCTAAATAAAATGTTTTTAATTGTGTACCAGTTTAACATTAATTGTTATTTATGATTTTAAGGTTAATGTTGTAATCTGAAGGACAAATTATTACTTATTTTAATGAATTTATATAATTAAGTGATTGTTCTGATAGATGATACAAGTTTAATAAACTTATCTTCATTTAATTGTTATTTTTAAGTGCCTATTTTGCATTCTGTACATTTCAATTTTTTAACATTTTCTATAATATATTTAGAAACAGATTCACATAATAAATCCTACCTCACAAATGTTGTCAATCACAGCAGATATATATATATTTCAAAATAGGAATAGAAAAAATACGTCAGGATGACGTAACGTTGAAACATGTAGAGTCGTCAACTTTTTGAAGGCCATAAATAGGCCTAAATCAAATGTTTTTAACTTTGTACCAGTTTAACATTGAATATTATTTATGATTTTAAACTGAAACTGGTCCATGCAGATCTTGGAGAAATAGCATCATCTCTATCATAATCCAGTACTCTTCTGTTAACTTTTAGCCATAATATTTAAAGTCCGGTGTTAACGTTCTCACCTTAATGTGATCAACTTTAGATCCATATCTGTTGAAGGTTTCTGTTGGCTGTGAACTAGGAATATACAGTACAGACTTAAAAGTGACTTCTCCCTCAGCAATAAAGTGAGTTTTTGTTAAAGGGTCTGATGTGTCTTTAGTAATTGATTTGTAGAAGTCTTTGTATTCATCTTCATTTATATCTGCTGGCCTGTTAAATAAAAAGCTAGTGTTAAATAATTTTCTAGTTGGAATTTACACATTGTTCACTACTAACAGTTGTACTATAGTACAATTAGAAAAATAAAGAGGTTCATGTTTCCAACATGTTTTAATAATTTTTCCTCTCCCTCAAAGAAAGAAAACTTAGTGATAAAGGATGTAAACTAAAAACGAGAAAAATAACAATTCAAGGCCTAGAGAGATAAAATAAAGTTTGTTGTAACTTAGTCTAAAAACAGTCAAATTCTGTATGAAGATGGAGTTTGCCACATTTTATAAGTCCTAAAATCAAGAACTACCTTTTAGTTGATATTTGTTTCTATAAAATTTTAGATTTTATTGACAATTAAACAAAAAAAATAGTTGGCTCAAAACATTACATCAAAATGAAACTGCTTTAAAGAACATTAAGATCTAGTAATTAGTAGTAATATTACGATGACAGTTTTAAACATAGAACAAAATAATTGCCTGAATAAGTTTAATGGAGTGGGTGCTAAAGGCTTTTTATTGAAGATTAAAAAAAAAAAGTCTTGTAAGAAGCCCAAATATTTAAGTTTCTATAATTTACTTAAGAAATACTTAACCTATAATTGGCCTGGTTTGTTTGATGTTGACATTAGTTACCATTTAAAATGACATTTTCTACTTAGTTTTTATGATAAATGACTAAAGTTTTAATAAACTCACTTTCTCTGCCAGATAGGTTTGGAAGAGTTCATAAGCTCCCAATCCCACGTGGTTTTCTCAACCTTTTTAGTTTTAGGTTTTTCTTCCTTTTCCTCTTCCACTTTACCATCCTCCTCAGTTTCCTCACCATCAGGCTTTTCTTTTATAACATCTTCCTCTTCATCCTCTTCAACAGGTTCCTCAACTGTCTCAGTCTAAAGTATAAAAGAAAGAATTTTCTCAAAAAGTGAAATATGATGTAAATGAATACATCAAGAAAACAATTATTGATTATTGAAATTTATTTAATACAGGAACTGTTTACTGCATAAGTGATAAATGCAAAATTACTTAATTGTCCAAATTCCAATCCAACTCCATAATCTTGTGTTGTGTCAAACGTGTCACATGTGGATGTGCATTGTCATGGAGAAGAACACCTTTCCGATTGACGAGTGAAGGGCTTGATTTAAGTGTTCCAGTTGCTGACTATAGATCTCTGCATTGACAGTTTACTGTGGATTGAGGAGTTCAAAATGAATTACACCTATGTCCCATCAAATGC